GGTAGACAACGTCCCAAGAACCTTTGGATTCAAAATACCTTTGAATTGAATATTACAATATTATGTAAAATTCTAATAATATAAATATAGTTAGAAATATTAAGACACATTTTATACTTACATCGGGAGAATTTTAGTGCGAGTAACTTAGAACTCATACAAAATGGCATTTTATGAATAAATGCCATTTTTGCCATAATTAAAATTGATCTGGTGCCACAATTAAGCTTTATGGTACTATGACTTTTTGGTTGCAATTGAGGTTTTATTGTGCAAATCTTTGCAATTTCACATGCATGGCATAGCTTAAAAGTTAAATTGAGCAATGTGGATGTACTCTACAACGGAATAATGTAATTATCCCAACGAAGAAAGCATTCACCCACATTGCTGATAGTATGCTATAATAGATTGGAAAGATACTCCTTGGATCTGTATATTTTGAGTAGATTGTAGACACATATCAAAATAAGTCATGATCACGTGATAGATGTAATTTTTGAAAGAAAAGAGTATTACATATACCGCAAAGATTTTTTTAAAACTCTAATGCTAGAATATTTTGGTTTTGAAATAGAGTTTTTCTCAAATCCTAGGATTAGAGATAGGTGATGTCACTCATCTTCGACTGAGGTTTCGAGGAGAAATATCTTCATCGTCAAAATCAGAAACCTCAAACTTATTTCATGGAGTAGACTAGCGCTCTATGCTTTGAATATACTCAGGGTGAATAATCATGCAGTCTATTCATGGACTTCTCTAATTCTCGTTAGATTTAATGGCTTTAAGTGTTCAGTGAACATAACATGAGCGCGGAATGTAAATTAGCAAAAAAAACAACTTTGCCTAACTTTCTCTTATGGTTTCAAGACTGTCACACAAGTTTTGTTTTACAAATGCCACAAATGTCACTTTTCAACTGTATTGGATGCCACAATAAACAAAAAGGTGGCAAAAGTGGCAAATGTCGTTTTTTATGAGATCCTAAGTAACCTTGGTGCTTACACATCTCGTCTTTCAAAGTGATGCTCTTTCACCTTAATTTTATTTTCAAAACGCAAAAAGTCTTTCTCGCTTTTTAGAAGAAAAAAGTCATATAAAATGTATGTTTAGCATCTAATGATTCAAATTCATTATAATAATGAGGCTTTTGTTTTCTATAGTAGTCAAAAGATATATCGGTTTTGTGCAATGACATTTTCAATATACACTAATGAAGGTCAACATGTTCAACCGGAATAAAAGAAGACACATTAGCAAATTAAAATTATATTATGAACTAACATGAAGTTATGTTTAAACATCTAGTTGCATTGCAAGAAGTATCTTTGACAATCTAAAGACTTTTGCAGCTTATGAAAAAAATACTTTCTGAGGTTTTTATGATGTATAAGATTATCATCAAATTATATTTTATGATCATAAAATGATATATTGAAAAAAATCCTCCGCTTGATAGAGTATATTACTTGATGGGATTCATTTCAAACTCACAACACTTGACCATACCCCAAACGATTTATTTTATGCAATAGGACCCCGCATCCACGGCTTGCAGCCCACCGTCATCTGCTAGTTCTTGTATTGCGAGTTCAACGATAAATTTCAGTTGGTGTCGGAATATACATGAGAATGGAAATTGATCCATGTTGATCCAACTTTTGATCTTGTCTGCGATTGACATGACTCAAGAAGATCACGCAGCTATCTTGCATTTGACTGCAAGATAGCTGATAGTGTTGTGCCGCTAGCAGATAGAAAGGTTTATAAAAGTGAAGCGGGAGGTTTAGAAGCAAATTCCATAATTTTTTTTGCAATACATTGATCATGCAATTTGATAATTGCGCTTCATAAATCATACGAATTGTGAGTTCAAAGATAGATAGATTATGATACAATGCATTGGGATAAGTACAATCCACTACAACTGCTTGTGTCAGATCGATGAGTTAGCTTGAGAATGCAGAATTCACAAATGTCTTGCTTTGGGTTCAATAACATTGCCATGTATCAGAAAGCTACTAAGGTAAACTAGAATCATTAACTCTGGAGATATCATATCTCCAAACCTCCTCGATGTAATGGTCTTTTGCTAACATTACCCGTTAAAACTATCACTCTGATCACACTATGAGCAACATTTTTGAAATTGAAAACACAAGTTACAAGAACTCGTATGAGAACATGGGTGATAGTGTGCTGTTGGATGGGTCTATAGGGTAAAAAGAATACTCTAGGATCTTGCCAAGAGTTTTGCATTTGGGATGGATCCCAATCAATAATAATCTCGGCTTGACAACATGAGCTGAATTTCAAGTATTAATAAAATTTACTTAGACGTGGTATTTAGTTTAGTATTGATTCAATATAAAGTTAAGGATTAATTAGCTAAAATTTGATGTAAGTTATTCAATATAAAGTTAGTATGTACGTTAGATCCTAATTTCACTTCAGGGAAAAATAATTCTGTAACATACAAATTAGTCTTTCAGGTTGTCATATTAGAGATTTAGAAATCTCTAATATGACAACGTCGTTGGATACTACGTGTGCTAGTAAGGTCGGATAGAAAGTCAATATATATGATATGAGAAATGCTGACATTTAAAAGAGAATTACATGATAGAATAAATAGCTAGAGATCGTAAAGCGCAATTCATATCTATGACGGCATCTTTTACCTTTATAGGTGGAACATTTTATAAAATAAAAATTCTGTTGACAAAAGGATAGTGAGTTTTGTACATAGTGAGTTGACGTACATGAATGAACTTCAAAGGGCTTAATACTGCAACTTAACAAACAAATTGATCCTTGGTCAAAACAACTGTGCTCATGTCAAAGTATTTTCAGCAATTTTCTGGTGTTTACAGCCAGCTAGGGTCACACATCTGTGCACTTACAAAAAACTTTGACCTCACCAATAGCTGCAGTGAAGACTAACCAGGGAATCCACTGTAGGTGTCCCATATATACCAGGACCTACCCTCCAGTTCAAGGGGTCCACAGGCTCAGACCTATCAAACACACAGACTTTCCCCAGAGCAGATTTTGCACCTTAAACACGGATCTCCCTAAAGGACACAATAATTCGAAGGTGTAGCTTTGCAGTCAAACCCGGAGAACTGGTCCTGTCACTTCACTCTTCCAGGTAGAATGTGAGTTTTATATTTAGGGAAATGTTAAAACGACCACATAAATCCTAAAACGACAACAGACGCGTGTTCACATTACCTGTCAAAAACAAATTTCTTTCGCACATAGCTACGAGTTTGTTTGTATTTGAACGTAAAAGTATCATGTTTGATTGTGTTTTTTGTATATGAATTTATATGCAGCAATACGTAACAAAAACAAGCTTGGAGATTACACTTGGACTTGTCTGCGAAAAAACAAAATCTGACAGGAGACGAGTCTATGGTGGTTTAAACATGGGATGTGGTCGTTATAACATTCCCCTATAATTATATACTACGGTGACTTAGTGTTTCATAGAGTTAACCGGACGTAGCCGGTCGCGCGTGCGAGTGGCATAAGGGAACTCAAGCTCTGAACTTGCAGGGGAATGATCCATGATCCATGGCAAAGGTGTCAGTCACGCAGTCACTGGCTAGCTTCCGAGAAAATGGCCGATGTTCTGCTCTGGCCTCCTGCCGTGAGCTCAACTCTGTCCTGTGTCCGGCCATGGAGTCGTTCATGCCGTGAACGAAGAGGGAATTTGGTACAGTGAGGAGAGCACAAGTTGTCGCGTGCTCGCTCTTGCACAGTAGTCTCCTCATGGGGCCAACGAGGGAGGCCTGAGCAGGATACTCCACCTCGTGCCGGAGTTTAGCATCTATGGATGCTAGCTACAATGATGAGGATAGGTCTCTCTTGGCGAAGTTCGGATCAGCTCAGTCTCCTTTCGCACCCGCTGAATTTGGATTCTCGACGCTCATCTTGCGTGTTATGTTGGTGGGCACATCTCGAGTCAGTGGGGCGGGCAGCATCTTGCTCGGATGAAATGGTTCAGTGCGAGGTGCCCTGAAGTGAAAGGGCAGAGGAGAGGCAAGAATTGCATGTGCTGGATATTTTAGATGCTTCAGGACCTCATGCACTGAGGAATAGCATCAACTTTATCTTCTCCATCCCGAGAGCATCGGGGAACACTTGATGTAAGTAAGGTGAGCTTCAGACGTCAGACCTGAGTCCTAGACCCCTTGGACGCTGTAAGTAAATGATCAGGTGAATGAACCGCACTGCCCGAAGTCAGAGTGACTTGTCCCAGCTCGATGTGATTGGAAAACTCGGAATCCGCCGAGGTCGACGACCTTTGGCCAGTCTGGCCCCGCATGATGCCATGATTGACTTCCCCCTCTCGCCAGGCAGGCATCGAAGGTCCGGGCACACCGAAACAACGCCATGCCATCTCCCCGATCCCTGTCAACGTCGTCCTGCAGCGAATCGGAGCAACAGCTGCTTGTGCAGATCCCATACCGGACTTTGACCGTGACGAGTCTAACAGAAATCAGGCCTGCTCCAGCTTCCAATGCACGCAGCCGTAACCCAGAGGCGACGAAGCAGAACGGAGCTCCAAGAACAACCCACTTTCGAGCCATACAGAATTTCATTCTCATACAATATTCTAGATATGTCATGATTGTCACCTTCGAGCATCATGCGCGCACATGTACCGGCCGTGAGATAGATAGGAAAGGCCCGCCCCCGTCAGCGGAGGAAAATTTTCCGTAAACTTTCCAGATCAGAATCCCGAATGGTTCACATATTCTCGGACTTGTTCCCAAGATTTCGCCATGAGTCGAAGGCGGCTCTATAATGATTCTCGGGGGTAACTCCCTTGAGAGAATCAAAAGAAGAGTTTGTCCTGTTACTTGTGCTGTACATGTAATTTGTAAAAGGGTACAGAACATTCGATTGGCCGTAGAAATTTCGACAGTGTCAAGGACAAGAGCAAAAAACAGGTTTCACCGTCGGAACGCGATGTTCTACTTCCTATGCTCGACACAGGTCCTGAAGATGGGGAGGAGGAATCCATGTTAGAATATAAGAGACAGAAAACATATATATTATGAATGAGCCTTCAAAGACCACTCATAGCGAAATAAGAAAAAAGAGAGAGAGGGAGAGAGAGAGCGAGTGAGTGCGTGAGAGAAATCGAGCACAATGGCCAGAGCACTGAAGATGAGCCAAGTTTGTGGAGATCCTTATGAGGTTGTGAGGCTGATCCACGTAGAAAAGCCGAAACCAGGTCCAGGTGAAGTGTTGGTACACATTATGCTTAGGACTGTCAATCCTTCTGATCTGCTCTGCGTACGTATCGGACACCGACCTGTTTGTGAGTTTTCCGGAGCTGCCTACAATCCAGGCCCCGGAACAGAGAATGGTGTCATTCCTGGAACCGAAGGATTCGGTTTAGTCGAGGAGGTGAGAAACCACCCGCTGTAACATCGGTGACGTTGTGTGCCCTCAGTTCAATCGGTTCAACAGATGGGACTTCTAGGTATCGACTACACCGAGTTCAGGACCAAAACACCGAACATTAGGAGCACTGCCCGGCTTTCCGTCCTTGCACATTCTGAACCTTGCAGTCTGTAGCCTGGTGTGCTAGAATCAACGGGGGGAGACAGATCTGTGCATTAGAGCCCGCTTCCTATTTAAATGTCGCATCCATATCTAACTTGTGACTTTAGGGACCAGAATTGGATGAGGAAGAGGCTGAATTTCACAAATCATCGTACACAGTTGATTTGACACCCAGTCTGTCCTTAACTGAAGATACACCCTCTTGAAAGAACTGGTACAGGAGGGAAACAAGAGGATTTGATTGACGAATGAACGATACCAGAAGCTGGCTGACTACTGAAAGACTACGGTACATCGAGTTGGCATTTTTCTCACGAAGATTTTTCTCACTAAACATACTTAGATTGCGGACTGGACGTTAGAGCTGGGAACTGAACGATACCATTTTTGTTGATGACCAACAGGTGGGAGAAGGTGTGACCGGGTTTTCTATTGGTCAGAGGGTGGTGCCTTGTCTATACGCCAAGTATCTGTCTACGGGAACGCAAGGTGCATGGCAAGACTATGTAGTTGTTCAGGAAGAGGAAGTTTACGCGATTTCTGATTCTATCAGTGATGAGACAGCAGCTCAGCTTGTGGCTAATCCGTGGACTGCTTACGTGCTGTTGAAGACCATTGCTGCACCAAAGGGGGAATACGTCATCTCAACGGCGGCCGGTTCTGTTGTAGGCAGGTAAAGTCCAATTTCCTTAGATCTGGACGATCTAACTCTCAGTACTACCAACTTCTGATTGTATTCTCTCTGGTTTGAACACACGCTTTGAATGCATTAATATTGCGCATTATGATGGGGTCTTCCCATCTCTTTTGCTATATTAATTTGTCCACCCAGTTTTCCGCAGTGTAAGAAGTTGGAAGCTTCATCGAGTTAGCTTTGATATCACCTTCTTGATTTCACGTTAGTACTGCAACGGTGAAATTTCTGTATGACACTTTCATGCGATCACGGTGTATAGGATTGACTTTTAGAAGGAAAACAGGAAGTCATATTCATACCCAAACCGCAGCTTTCTGTGAAATTTTTTTTGATGTGAACATGCCTAGCTACATAGGCCCTTGGGCGAGTGGAACAACCGTGAACTGCAAATGAGCGATGCTCACACCTGTATCCCATCATCTACTGGAGGAACAGGTACGGTGTGTTCGAAATAGTGATTAGGTTGGTGATCCGGAAACCATGATAAAAAAGAAGATGGACAACAAAAGTTAGAAGCACTCTGATTTGTCAGTGCGCACCATAAGTGACTTTTGTTGAGATATCGCGCAGGTTGATCATCCAGCTTGCTAAACATTGGGGCATCAAAACTATCAACATTGTTCGTCATGATAAGTACACTGAAGAGCTGAAGGCATTGGGTGCAGACTTCGTGATCAATTCGAGCAAAGAAGGTACTCTTTTGCGATCAAATTTTCATCATTTCGAAGCACAGAGGATGTAGACCTTACACACTTGATTCGTGAGGATGAGTATATCTTCACGTAAAACTCTGTTACTCTCCTGGACTTGAGGCTATTTAAAATACTCACTTATCACATTTCCTGGACGGCTAGACCGTTCCTGTTCACCTGCTAATTTGATTGTTCGTTCGCAGATGTCGTTGCCAAAGTTAAGGAGATCACGAATGGGAAACGTGCATATGGTGCAGTGGATGCTGTAGCCGGAGAACTCACCAAGGTACTTAACCCACTCTTCTTTCCCTTCATGTACTTACTGAAATCAGGCTAAGCGTCACTGTGATAGTAGTGATATTTATGATAGTGGTGAGATCATCAGTATTCCCAATGAAGCTCTTGAAGTCCATGCTTACGGACGACCATCTCGATGGCTGCAATTAGCTAGCAACCGGCTGGAAACTCAGAGAAATCTATAAATGTCTGAACCGTTCCTTTCTGAAGGATTCTCAAGGAGAATTGTTTATAGACCTGAGTTCTCTGAGCAGCAACTTTTTTATCTTCATGTTCGCATAGAAGCCTTTATGGTTGCCAGTGTCGATTCCAAATTGGCCATATTGCGCTCTAGATCAATGAGTTCCAATTATGAACTCCTGAGATGTATACAATGAATTTTCAAACATAGAAATGATACGCAGTCATAATCGTCGGAAGCTGAAGCTTGTTATATTCGACTGCAGCTCGTCGCTGTAACCTTCAGCGTCCCAGAAAGTTAGACTTATAGACTCTCGTTTTGACTTACCATCTGATGCTTCCTCTTTGCATGGCAGACTATAACGAGTGCAGTTCGAGATGAAGGTGAGGTCTGGGTCTATGGTGTGCTCTCGGGTTACGACATAGTTGTGGGAGTGTTTGATCTTGCAAGACTCGTGAAAGTGGGGTGGTGGATCTTGCACAGGCATACGTCCACTGTCGAGCTTAGAAAAGAAGTAGGTACAGAAGTGATCAGACTATTCGATGAAAAAGTGTGGGCGCCTTTGAGTTTTGGCAAGAAGTTTAAACTCGAAGAGTTCACAACAGCATTTGCGGAAGCAGAAACATATAACAAACGAGGAAAGATACTTCTGACCAGCTGAAATTTGTCTTCTCGGGACTCGATTTATGCTCGGGTTGTTTGTCGCAATTTTTATCTCAGCTGGTTTAGGACATGATTCACACTCTGATATTATCCTTAATCCCATAAATCCCTGGGAAACCGTGTCCTTTCAGCCCTGTACAGCTTGATGGGCTCTTCCCATCGTCTTCGCTATTTACTTGGCCCCGTTACGATTTGTACACAGATCCGACGTCAGTGCTGCCATGCCTTGTAATCCACCCAACTGAGCTTAGCCTTGTCACATCGACAAGCCCTTGTATCTTCAAGACTGCACTCAGCTCAATTGGCCTTAACTTGTGGCCCCATTATTGTATATTAAGGAATACAACGTTTATACTCTGGAGCTATTCAAGAATGCGTTCCCGTAGCTTCCCACTGCGTGTGGTCGTAGCGCTCGTCCGCCTTGGACTTGCTGCAATTTGCTGGATGAAGAAAACTGGATCGCTCCCAAACTCTAAAAAGGACTTCTTTCCTTATTTTTTGCAAAATTCTCTCGCGAGTAGATTGAACACTGGTCCCAGTCAAATAGAGGCATTAATTCTATCCCTTGAATCAGAAAATCTAGTCAAGTTTATCATCTTTATTTAACATTTTGTGGCAACATGTGAAGATTCTATTTATGAAGTCAAGAAGTTGAGAGAGATTTTCATCAATTTATGACAAAATAAATCACTCCACGCAGAAGTTGACGAAAAGTCTGATTCTCTATGAATGAGTAATAATTTTATGAAATTTCTCAATGGATGAGTAATAGATTTATGAAAAGCATTGATGTGAGGTTATTTTTATTATTAGATTAATGATTATATTTAAATGCTTGGTTTAGGAAATATTAATATGTTCGAGAAAACATAAATTTAGAATTAGATATAAATTATTTTTCCAGATGTCTAATTTCATATGATAATTCTTCAACTTTAACAAATATAAATTAGTATAAAAGCCGTTCAGGGTAAATATAAACGCACATACAAACGTATCTTGAACTCAAAGAACTCAAATTATTATTTTTATATTGGTATCAACTTGATGGTAAACTAAATTATTTTTTCATAATGTTACAACAACAATAAATATCAACATGTGTTTAGTTTTTCTTTGAATAAATTATTTATATATGGCATTTAATACATCATATATTCCAAAGCATTATCAATTATAATTCTATCGAAGTTCAAATCAGTCGATACACACAATTAATATTTTGCATGATGAATAATCACCAGCCTCAGTGTCATGACATAAGCATAATGTAATAACCCACTAAAGGCTAAAACTGCAATATAGTGGTAGAAAGGTCGAACCCACAGGGACAGAGGAACACACAGGGTACAAAGTGTCACGTTTAACATACTATTGAGGAGTTTGAATTCTCAGGCGACTGTCACTCCCAGAAATACTGCAAGTGTCCACTCGGAGCGCACTCGGAGGTCGCACAGTGCAGCGTAACACACACACACACACTCCTGAAACTACAGAAACACAACCCAGAGATCCGTTAGGATCTCTACTCAAGATTTCAGGAGGGAAGGTCTCTCAAGAGCCACTCAGCGAAGCTGCGGGTAGTGACTCCCAACTCCGGCTTTTACAACACTTCCACTAGCTTGTTGCTAGTGTAGGAAACCCGGGTTGGACTGCCTACTCCGGATCGACGATACGCTAGTAGATAAACAACCGCAAGATTGGATCACCCGCGAGTATTCACAACGGACGACGCACTCACGCATCCCAAGAATTGCAGAAAATGAATTGCAGCCATTCTCGGAGGCCCGAGAAGCAAAAGCAAAATACTTTGCTGATCTCTCTTGATCGAGCAGATACGAGCAATCACGTGCAGCTCATGGAATGTTTCATTTGAATATTAAGTATGCAGACAATATTACATAAAAGAGAATATTTTGTATGTAAATATTCCGTATAACAGATTCTTTGTTGGATGAAGTGAAATTAGATATCTAAACTCGACTAATGTATATAAACATTGTTTGAGAGTTCAAAAATAAAGAAATATGTATTATGATCTCTATCTTTTGTAGAACGAAGATGACATTGAAATATTTTGAAATATCAAGATACAACATCATATCCGCTATATTGCTAAGAAACAAGCTTGTGATCATTAATGACATTGAATGGAAGAAGTCATAAAAAACACAAGTTATATGATCATGAGGTTTCAAAATCCTTCGGATATGAAGCAGGTTGAGAAGTATACCGAGGTCATCCAATTCTTCAGCAAGAGAAGTAACTATCACATGGGATGAACATATATATGAGGTTGTTGAAGTTTAAGATGCGACCCAAAACTAAAAACCAAAACCACATTCAAGCCTTAAGTATTTGTTTGTAAATCTTCAAAATATAGTGCGCACCTCCAATATTGAAACGCTTCACTGAATGATTCAATTGTCGTGAAGACACGGGACGAGGATTCTGCGGCCTCTAATAGAGATTGGTAACAATGTTCCATCTCATCAAATTGTGAGTTTCATGGATGTAGGAGCACTCTGACATGAAGAAGTCTATGCATCTCCCTAACTCATTGCTTGCTTCGTATCTAAACTATCAAAGATTCTGCTTCATCATGATAACAAGACTGTCACTTACCACCAAGTTGTAATATGACTTTTTGATAGTTCATTATAATTCAAAAAGGTAGAATTCTCCAATATGTCTTTGTTCCAAACACACTCTCACACAAACTTTCCACTCATACTTCAATTGCAAACACTCATTAGTACTCAAAAGGATAGTGAAATTTTAACTTATATCAATGAAATAAGTATTCACACAATGATATCTCAGAACTTGCTTGAAAGTCTTTTCTAACTTTCTATATATAATACCTGAAAAATTAACATACTAACACATGGTAATTAACTACTAACTTACTTTACTAGAATAAAACATGGTAGTTCTGATTAGTATCTATATGTGGCAACATGTTATTGGTCTACCTAAATCTTTTAAAAATTTCATAATCTCTAGATTGAGTTGGCAACATGCCATTTAAGACTTTCAAACTTTTAGAACTTTCACTTGCCACTTAGTCAAGATTAGACTTAGTCTAACCATTGAAGTTCTTATTACTTAGCGAAATCAATCAAAATTAATCATGTAATCAAAATCTTCCATTCTTGAAATCTAGACTTTAATTGAAAAACAAAATATTTATGCTCATTCAAATATTCTACAACTTCTAAATTATTATTGCACCAAATAAAGAAGTTATAGCTAAACAAGATCATAACTAGCTTGACTTAGTTATATCTAAGCTAACCATGATAAACTCTTTGGTTACTTCTAATCCTACTTCATTCATACAAAAACCGA